AAAATAATGATAGACTAGATTTAAAAAAAAATTAAATTACAATCAATGTCACAGGTTTTACGCCAAGTGCTTGCAGCTTCTGTAAGAATATTCCCAGTCATTCCTAATGGAGAGTGTTATCTTTTCCCAAGAAAGAGGAAAGCATAGGACTTTAAAATAAGGATTTCACACAATCACTGATATTTAGATTGAGTTAAAAAAACGAGGCTATCTCTTAAGGTGTTGTTTAGCTGCAGAAATAACCATTAAAAATGATTTTCTTTTGCTCTTTTTAAGAGGAAAGTTTAATGGTAACTGGGTATTTGCATTCATGTCTTTGCTTACAGGCCATTATTATGCTTTAGGAAGAGGTATTTTAGTTGTTTATTAAAGAGGGAGAAGTACATCACAGCCTTTTAGGAAGTAAAGCAAAGACGTAAAGTGTATATTCAACTAAAAAACCAGTTTCTTTGTTTCCAGATATTTGCCAGAATATCTTTTTGTGACATTTTTGGAAGTCCACAGATTGGTCTAGAATGTGGAGTTCAGGAAATTCTACATGGGGGCCCAGTAGTCTCAGTCTCAAATATTCAAGAGTTCAAAATGGTTATCAATTATAGTAATTATGCTTATAATTAGATTAATGAACCATTGGTGCCCCAACTCCAAGGGCAAAAACTTCAAGACCTACTGATGAGGTACCCTAAAAAGAGGGGTTTATGTAAACAAATCCCTATTAGGCAAAGTAAATCAAGATAAGGAACCTCACCCCAGGCTGGATTAGAAGCTAGCAGGCATCTTTCAATCACAGCAAGTCCCTAATCACTCAGGAACCACCTCTGTGGTTTTGCATTAGGGAAAACTGCTCCCTTCTGAGGTCTGATGGCTATACAAAGGGTGCCCCCAAAATGCTCCCGGCTAAATATTCTTGATGCTTGGAAGGGGGTAGGGGAAGACCCAGCAAGAATATGCTTATTGCTTCAGTTTCTGAGAATCACATTGTAACTGCAAGACCATAATAACTGCTACTCAGTAAAAACTAGTTATGCCAACCATGCATTAAGGATCATCACACTGAGTGGAGGGGAACATTTCAACATTGTAGTCTTTTGACCTTGTTCCAAATAAAGAAATAATTTAATGTCCCTCTTCCCCAGTCTTAGAGTAGTGTTTCCAAACAGAAGCTTTCCTGGCTTTTCTGATTGCCATCACCTCCCCCCTTCCTACCTCAAGGTTTAATGCCACCAGAAACTGTAGAAAATGATTATGCCCAGTATCCAGGTCATTATTGTTTAATCAATGCATCTCTGGAGCATGAAAAAGGTACCTAAACCACAGCTATTGTTTGGATTTTATTTAAAAACAAAATAAAACACACACAAATAACTATAGTTCTATGCCCAAGCCAAATTAGAGATCCACACTTCATGATCCTTCCTGTTTTGCCTTTACACAATGTGACTGTACATGCCTAATATTGTATGTCTGGTCTACCAGAGACATAGAGATCAAAGGTCATATTTAACATTCAGGAGGAGGGGCGGGTGCAGATTAATTAATAAATTAATACAGCGACGCTTTTTATTGCTGGAGTCCAACATTAATATCTACTTTCACAATCCCAACGGACAGCAAACATTTAAGAGAAAAAAAAGCCAGAGAAAGAGAAAGAACAATCACTTACCAGTCTCTTTTTATTTGGGGAGCCTTAGAATTTGCAGACGCTGCCAGTCTGCCTTTAATTAGTTGCACATCACCCCCTAACACAAAGAAACACAAATCCAGATGTGTCTTGGCAGCTCCCAATTACAACTTTAATACTTGTAAACAAACTGTTGGGGAGGGGGGATAAATAAATATGCGGATCAAAAAAAAAAAATACCTGTAAATGGCTTTTTTTTTCTTGTTGCAGAGAGAAGGAGGAGGAGATGGTGTTAGTGGTGGGGGTGGAAGGAGGAGGAGGTGGGGGGAGAGGAAAGAGCCGAGTGTGAGTGTATGTGTGAGAGCGCGGGGCTGTTGTCGGTGGTCTCTCCTCTCCCAGCGCGTTGCTCTCCGTCCGTCTCCAGTCGCTGTGTGCGAGGGAGGGAGGGAGCCGGGGAGTCTCTCTCTCTCTCTCTCTCTCCCCCCCCTCGCCCTCCCCCCTTCTCTCTCTGTTTGTGTGTGTGCGTGTGTGCGGTTGCTGGGGGAGGGGAGCCGGAGAGAAAGGCGAGGGAGGAGGTATGGAGGCTGGGGGCGGGGGCGCGGGGTGGGGGTGATTGGCGCCGAGGTGAGGAGGACGCAGGGACGTGGACACCTACTGATGATTGGCTGCAAATTACACGGGGAACAAGAGGCGCACGCGGGCCAGCGCTCCTTTTCACAAATCCTCTCCTCGCCGGAGGAGCCACGTTTCCCTGCTCGCCTGCCGATCGCCCTCCCTCCTCGCGCCGGGCTCTCCCTCCGGCTCAGCCGCCCAGCACCGAGGGCCGTTGATTATTTTCTTTTGCTCGGGGAGATAATTGTTTGGAAGGGATGGAAAGAGGGCGTTTCCGCCACTCTCTCTGGGTGTGGGGGTGTGTGCGTGTGCGTGTGCGGGTGTGTGTGTAAATAAACTTGTCTGGGTGTTCTGGCTGGGCTGAGAAGAGCAATGCGAGGAACAGGGAGGAAAAGGTCGGGTTGAAGAATGCTCTCAGTTCGTACCCTACCGCCTGTGGTCTCAAATAATTTTTCTGGTGCACCCAGGAGGACTTTTTGAAAAAAAAAAAAAATCATTATCTTTTAGATCTTTAAAGTAAGGAAAAACTGATCAGATCGGTGTTCGGGGTGTTCAGACTCTTGAGATATTATTATGCCAGAATGCAAAAAATTGGTGACGTGGTGCTTGACTGATCCCCAAATCGATCTAAATCTCAATCTCTGTTCCCTCTTCTCTTCTCCCCTCCCACCTCCCTCTTTTACTATTCCATCTGGTAGTTCCAGAGATTAAATCAGATTTTTAACTCGCTGCCCTATTTTTAATTCCAAACTTTACTTAAGCAAAAACTTTTACATCTCAATCTATGTTATCCTAGAATGTGATGAACAGTTCACTTCTTGTCACTGGGGAAGAAATAGTTTGTTAATTGAAATATAAATCTTTTACAGCAGGTCAAATATAAATAAAACTCATTCATAAATGTAGCCATGACAGATTTCTGGATATGTGCTCCTACTCCTGAACCATACTCTGGTAGAAATAGTTACATTAATAAAATAAGACGTGGAATTATGAATCTTTTAAAATAATTTTCTCAAAGACAAAAACATTTGGTGGCTAATGGTTAGAGGAAAGAAAAAAAATCAGACTGTCTAAACTGGTGTGATAAAGCACATTAAAAGTTTTAAATTAAAACTCTATCCTATATTCTAGAGTAATACAACAGTCTAACTTCAGAAAGGAAGAAAAGTATCTTAATGGCTTATTTCTTTTAAGGAACAAAATGCTGAAAAGACATTTGAATTTTCAAAAGGTCGTCCTGGATCATGTCAAGATCTACCAACCATGGAGGATAAATTGTTGATAAGATGTTAAGAACTTGATGTGCATAAATGAAGATGCTGTTTTTAGAGTGGGCAACTATTGTATTGGGAGACAAATATATTTTGTGACTTGCTGATTAATATACATGTTTTGTCATTTTTTAACACCTAAGGACTAAGTTTGGTTATAACTGGTTATTTGAAATTTATAGACAAAATAATTGGATGGTTAATAGTTAACTTCAGTTAATAAGATATTTTATACTGTGTTAAGGCCTTGCAAAAGCAAGGAAGGAAATGTTACATTTGATTTTTTTTCTTTTTTCTTTTTTTTTTTTTTTGAGCTGAGCATCATAGGAAATTTATCAGGAAAGTGTAGTCACTTTTAATGAGTGAAAACATTCTAAAAAGATGATAGACTCTTCAACATCTTTTCAAAATATTTAAAATATCAGTCCAATGTTAGACATTTTAAAGTTTATAAATAAGCAATGTTTTTAATTAAATAAAGGCATCATGCTTCCTCATGCCAAATTTTCTTTTCTGGAAATTTTCCTTTTTGGAAATTCCTTTTCTCATGCTTTCCATTTTGGGACTCTTCAAATTCACTTTCAAAATGAAACCTTAAACAAATGACAGAAAATAGGCTCTAAACTCCGAAGAATTTTACTTTCTGACTGACAAAGGAAAACTAAGAACATTTAGTCTTAATAATTAATGAGAGCTACTATAATGACCTATGCATCAGACACTGTACAAAGTAATTTTCAGATATTTTACTTTGTCCTTGTAATAACCCTATGAGGTAATATTTCTATTTTATAAATCAAGAAATTGAAGCCCAAAGAAATTAGGTAACCTGGATTCGGTCATAAAGTTAGTATGTAACAAGAGTGAAATTTGTACCCAGTCCTGTCTACCTCCAAAACCTTATGCTTATAATATCTACCCTAGTCTCACTACCAATAATTATTAATCCATCAACCCACTCTGGATACTAGAACCTTAGATTTAATTATGATTGTAGGCCCCTGTTAATATGACATCAATTGAACAAATAGAACACGTTATAAACAATACGCCCCATGGCTCTGATAGAGCCCCCTTTGCCTTTCTACTAGGGGACTGATTGCATCCTCAGCCTAATGTGATGAGGGGAAAAGCTCTTTGCTGGTCTACCTTACATCCTTCCATCTTTATACTAGTGTAGACACTTGCACATGTACCATGTCTCATACTGGTCTACGCCTGACATTCTCTTTTTGAAGATGTTACCTGAGGGTTTTGGTAACAGTTGCTGAGAACACACAGTTCCTGTTAACTCTCTTCTGGATCCATCGTTCTATGAAGCACTAAAAAATGTAGGGTTTGTTTCTTCTGCAAAACACCCACTACAGCTTCCAATTACCTGGATTAAGTTTGTGCCCTTACCCTGCTTTAGTGTATGTTATCTGAAGTAAGAAAGAATACAGGCATTTCATAGATATTCTGATGAGAAAATTTTTAAAAATTCCAATTTGAATCTGACCTGAAAAAGGATCTTGTATTTTGCATAAATTCTGTGTTGTGTTAAGAAATATCTTTGATGTACTACTGTATTCCATCATGATCATGATCAAGATCATCATCATTATCTCAGAATCTCTAAATAGGTAGCATGTCTTGTTATAATGAATAGATCCCCAAATTTACCAAGGCAAATACCAGAGAAACTTATTTTTGGCTCATGTACCAGTGAAGGACAAGAATTCCAGGTCAGCGGGCCATTGTCCCTCACGAGTGATTCATGCATCTAGTTTCCTTCTATCTCTAGGATTGTCATTTTCAAAGGACTGCTCGTCAACTATATCAAGCTGACAGAGGGCATGAAGAAGGCACGATGGCTTCTTAAAGACCTTGGTTTTGAAAAGGAACATAGCACTGCAGCTCACGTGCCATTGTCAAGAGCTAAGTTTGAAGCCACACCTAGCTGCAAAGATTGCTGGACAGCCACTTCCTAGGTGCAAATCTGTTACTATGGAGTAGCGAAAGTTTGGGTGGACAATTGGCCCTTTTTCACATAGAGTAAAGCTAGGAGAATAACCTACTGGAGAGATGGAAAACCTTGAAATTGGTCTCCCCTCTAGGAGTCCTTCGGATTTTTGCTGCTTACCATTCTTAGAGCTTACTGCTAAAACCTAAAAACAGTCGTAATGACTTTGCAGAAAGTTTGGTAACTATAAAAAATTATGCTTTCTTAAATCCCTCTAGGACAGCCATGTAAAGGTTAGAATATTCAAGCTAGAATTTACCAAAGAATAAAGGATAAAAAGAGCAGAAGTAATAACAATCAGAGGAAATACCATAAATAAATAAATATCTAAAATAAACTGACTTGGTGATAAATAGGGGGCACTGGCATCTTGTCTACTTGTTTTTCCAAATTCAATAGCTCGAGGTAACTTGTAACCACCACTCCCCCACCACCAGTGATGTGCTACGTGTTAATCACATCACTACGCAGGTCAGCGCAGGTATGATCACTTACACTGAATCAGAACACGGCCACTACGCAGGTCAGCAAAGGTATGTACAGCTCCCTCACCTCACTTCTTAGAACCCATATGCCAATTCATGCTCTTTGAGGACCATCTCCTTTCATAGCAATTCACATGTACATAATAAATATCCCTAGCCTTCATAGAAGGAATATACCAATATAATACAATAAGAAGAAATATTATTTAAGTCTTTGTGTCCAAAATCTACCTGGGATTTTTATTTACTTTAATTTATTGCCACAATTTGAGAGTCTCAACAGCAAGGATGGTGTCTAACTCATCTTTGTTGCCCACTTCATACATACCTCCAGCTACATGGCTGGTTCTGACACTCTGTGCCACACACATTGAGAGAAATTAGCATACACAAAATGTATGGAAGTGAGTTCCCCTTTACTATAGAATTAAAGTGCAAAATTCATGAAATGAATTTTATGAAGCCCGTCTTCAGCTGTCCCCATCTTTTGAATCTAATTTCCTATTATTTCTTCCAAGAAAACTCTACTCCAGCAGGTCTGCTGCTCTCAGAAAACATCATCTGTCTTGTAACCGGCAGAGGGAGGGATCTTTAATTAATAAAGAACCATAAGCTAAAATGAAGTACTGTTATTTAAATAAAAGAAAGTATTGAAATATTTTTAAATTCTTACATCGAACATTTTAAGGATATTTTCAGACATTTCTGTAGTGGCTCAACAATTGAGATTTGATGAAACCACTTCTTAAAATCAATATTCTGCACACCTGTTATTTTCTTTCACTTCTAGTTAAATATCGATATATCATTACCACAGTGCTGACCTTCATATATGAAGTTGGCACTTTTAATCTCCCAACACAGTGGGCCACACACTTTGAGCTGCTTTCCCACCTATCTTCATTCTCTTCCCTGTTTTTCTAATGACCAATGGAATGGCTAGCCATTGTCAATTATAAAAATGGTAACAATTGAGGATAATGAAAAGAATGGATATAGAGGGCTAAATGTATTACCTTGGCCTCCTTAACACTATATTCAAAACAACTAAGATAATCGAGT